CCCCAAAACCCCAAAACCCCAAAACCCCAAAACCCCTTCTATCTCTTCTTTATAAAAATTATCTTTAATGGAGGTAAACACTCTTCTTTAAAACAGTTAATCAATTAAGAAATTTACCATTCTGTAGGAGGAGCACATCTGAGATTCCATGCTAAAAATAGCCCATGCTGCCAATATTAGCACTCGAACAGTAAAAACAGGTAATTTAATAGACTCTCTGGCTTGAAATGTAGTTTATTGCGATTAATGAGCCCTTAAACCTTACTTTAAACTTCCTGCATTGCAACTGGCTTTTCTTCACAACCAAATATCATCTTTGCTGACTTGTACATTTAGAATCAGGCAATGAGCTTGAATTAAAGTACTTTGATTACAAATCCACTGGGTTTTCACCCTCAGAAACAGATCTAAAAGTGAGCGATTCCTAAGTAATCTACAGAAAGACTGTATTGTCTCTGGAGAGTATGAAGGTGGCCTTGAACTTTGGGAAGGAAATGTTTGTCTCATCAAGCATCTACTTGATACACAAAGTCAGTACTCCAACTCTGAAGATCTCAGAGTGCTTGATGTTGGGTGTGGGCAAGGCCAAGCAGGAGCAATTCTACTATCTGCAGGAGGTAACTTCCTTGCTTTAATGACTTTAGCTCAAGTGACATTTCAAGATTTCAATAAGAACGTGATTAGCGATATCACTCCTCTCTGCGTGAACGCAAATCTAGAAACATGGCAAAGCTCATCCTCAAACAAGAAAGCACACTATATTTATGGTGATTGGGAGGAGCTCACAAAAGAATGTTCTGGAGAAGAAATTGATAGATATGACCTTATACTCACAGCTGACACTGTCTACAATAAAAGTAAAGTATCCTCTAAATCTTAGGCTATTACCAAAAACTCTATGAATATATAAGAATCAATCTTAAAGAAAGCGGAACCTGACTCTGCTCTTGCCAAGCATATTACTACGGATGAGGAGGTGGTGAGCAAGAATACATTGACTTCAGCGATAAATTTAATGAGTTCGACATCACCAAACTCCAAGAGTTCGAAGATAACAACAGTATCAAAAGATGCGTCCTTGGCATTAAATGGAAGCCTGAATCATACACCACAAGTAAGCCTTCATGCCTAACATTGTAGGTAAAGAAGTACCTCCTCCTCAAGAAGCAGAGACTGAAAATTTCTTATCATTTTAGCAACATCACAAAGATTCAATTCCAACTTTTAAAATGGGGTTTTGGGGTTTTGGGGTTTTGGGG